TAGTTTGCTTTTAATTACATGTGTAGTCCTAGAATTTCAATTACAATTATAATTAAGTTTACAACATTTATAGTAAATACAACTAAATAAAAAACTTTTTTGTAATTACAATTAAGTACAAAACTATTATAATTACCGTAATTAAGTTACAATACATTATAGAGCTGTCATATGGACCTGATCGGACATATATTATCCAAGCTCCAATAATTAGATCATGTCTAATCGACCTTAGGCCACCAATCTAATTGTTAGTCTTTGTTTTCCTGCTAAAGGCAAAAGATTGAACTCTTGGAATATATAAGATCACGGAAGCCAATACATTTGTAATACCTTCCATTGACCTACCGTATATGTATTTTATCCCCGTTTGATATTCAATAATTAGGTGTCACCATAAATGATCGTTTTGTCCTTCTAATTATTTTCACTAACTGATAAAGAATTCAACTTGACCAATCAAATTGATATCATCCACTAATGAATCAAAGAACCATTAAAATCACCAAAAGATATACATAATCCTATTAAGGAATTTAGATGAAATACACAGTGGTAAAGTGAAATTCAATTCTCCACACAGTCATGTTATAGAATTAAATTTAGCATACAGTCCGTTCAATATACTTCAAGTGTACTAGTATTACATTTAACTATTTCTGTGATAAGGACAAATCACAAAATTAAATAGTGGATTGGTTAACACTACAACCTTCCAATATTATTGTAGTGGAATGTACCCTAATCGTCCTAAACAATTGATGTGCTTAGTAATAATAAATTTAACATGCATTTAAGTTCCATTAAAATTTCATTAATTTGTATGATATTTTTAATGTATTGCATGCTTACAATTTGGGTAACAATCTCCTCTTGTTCCAACAATCCATCATTTTATATGCATTTTAGTTGGGTTTATTCAAAGTTAATTTATTTTACATCAATTTCTAATTAATTGACTCCTATTTCAGGATAAAAATCATTGATGGAGCCAAATCAGAGATTTAATTATTCATTGAACAAGAATTAAGTAAATTATTAGGGTCAAGTCAAATTAGCATAGTTATGACCCTTAATTATTGAGTCCTTTAAAAGTAAAGAACTAGGACCTACGATTACACTTCCAATAATACACAAAAAAAATTCCATATCGTTTTCTAATTGAATTAGTATTCAAATTGCCATTCTTGTTGGCTACGTCTTCTGGAAGCTGGAATTCTTACAGTGGAAGGTATAATCATTTCTTCATTTTCCCCCGAGGGGGACGTAAGGGGGAAAGCGTTTAGGGCTGCTCTCCGAGGCATATTTTATGGTTATTTCAGTGTTAAACATGGTATTGGGCAATTGAAATTCGTAAAATTAAATGAATAAGCATATGAAAGTATTACACACACATGTGTGCATGTGTATATATAGGTACTTTAGAACCCATTTATGTTATTGAGCATGAATCACTTTGTTTTTTCTTTTTCTTTTTTATTTGGCTATTTGATTTTTTTAAATTAATTTTATCATTTTCATAGCTAAGAGTTGATAATTATATTTCCTCAAATAAATAGTTAAACGAATGAAGTTCATATATATGTGTATTAAGTTTTAAATTATAAGAAAACTCTTGTTAATTGACATGAATGAATCATTGCGGCATAAACATGCTAAACAAAGAAGTAACTTTGCACTTAGGTTAGAAAAAAGATCATTCAACTCTTGAAATTACATTTCAATGATAGAATAGGATAAAGCCACACGGAAACAATGAAAATTTGTAATTTCTTCAATATGCCGTAAGTGACCTACGCACACTATCCATATCAGGAACATCAATATTATGCTTTTGACAAAAAGAAACGATTTCATCCAAGAAAGGAATCCCACTCATTGTCGCTCATCTCTTGGAGTCTTTGTTTGCATATTATCACTAAACTCATGACATTTCTAATATCTTGATCTTTTCTTTGTAATGCCTTAGATAATTCATTTGAAATCCCTTGATGGTTATCATGAGATGTAGATTAAACACAAACTCAAATGATTACATCGAGTCCAGTATATTATCAGCCTCACATATTTGTTCACGTGTTGATCCATTAGCAAAAATCATTTCAATGACATCAATTACATATGAGAACATCAAAATCAAACTAATCAAGGAACGATGATGTGATTCCAATGTGTATCACCAAAAAATGCATTATTACTTTGTTGATTAAGACACTGTTAACTTGAAACCTCACTATTAATGAGTGCTTCAAAAATACGGCTTCTTGTTGGTCTTAAAGAATATCACAACGTTTAGAAGGAACTCCAACAATATTCACCACACCAGAAACCAAATTAAAGAGTGATTGGACTTTCTTGTGATTCTTTGCTATGGCTACAAGAGCCAAGTGAAACTGATGAGCAAAACAATGAACATAGAAAGGTACTTGGAATCTCTTTCAAAATAAGTGCTTTCGAGACCCTTGAACAAACCTTGCATATTACTCACCCCATCATAACCTTGACCTTGCAATCTAGATGTACTCAATCGATATCTTGAAAATAATTTATCTATAGCCTCCTTAAGTTATAGAGTTGTAGTACTAGAAATGTATTCAATCCCAATAACACGTTCAACTAGATGCCCATCTTTTCCACATAACGTAAAACAATAGACATTTGCTCCTTCATTGAGATATCTTGAGATTCATCAGCTAGAATTGAAAAGAATGTATCAACAATATCTTTGATGGTAACATCAATTGTTTCAATAGCTGCCATACTTACAATTTCATTCTTAATTTTTTTTAGTTTTGATTTTTTGAAGCATTTTTCAAAGTGGTAAATTTTATCCCTTCATTATGATTAGCCAGAAACTTCAACTATTGAAGAAAGTTAACTTGATTATTTGACTCTTCAAACTTATCATGATCACAAAAAGCAAGTCCTTGCTGTAAAATAAGTCGAACACAATCAATTGATCCATCCAAACAAATTCGATATGAAATTCGTGCTTGTTTTGACTGCTTGAAGAAAACTGTCTCAATATGTTGTTCTTGATTCATCAGGGCTTCACAGTTGCTTCAGGCTAGATTATTTGCACCATGGACATCTCCAACATGAGCTCCAAGTCTATCCTTCTTTAAAATTATAGAACCCTTCTTTCGTAAAAGCATCACCACCTCCTTGTTCCCCATTATTTGGTCCGAAAGATACCAATATAATCAAATGTGGCATTTTTACTTATATTATATTAGAACCAATCATCATATTCATTGAATAGAGCAGGAATGAATCGCCTTGATTTTTTACATTATAACACATGAATCCGAGGCTGATGCGGACATCTCTACAAGGTACTCTTGTTAGCTGATCTTGAAGATTAACATTGTAATCCATTATTGTAGTTCTTAATCCGAGATCCATAGGAAGTTGTACAACATCAATATGCTCAATACTTTCTTTCTTTAACTCATCATTTTCTTGAAAATCAGTTTCATCAACACTTGCTTCCTTTGCTTCATCATTTTCTTAAGCAATAGCATCCTTAACACTTGCTTCCTTTACCTCAACATTTTCGTTAATAGAAAATCTCTTAATGTGTGACTTCTTCACCTCAACATTTCCTTCAATGAAAATTTGAGATATTCGTTTAAAATATCTCAACATATCTTCCCATAAATCAAACAAAGCTTGCATAACTATACCATCAGTGAAATAGAAAGTTAAGAGATGAACATCAAGAATTGAGATTACAAATAGCAAATATTTTAAGATAAACTAAACTAATAATCAAAATTATAAATGTAGATTTTTAGAAATGAATTCTATCAGTTTATCACAAGATAATTGATTCTTTAAGCCAATTCATAATCGAATTTTTCAGTCCTTTTCTGGGAAACTCAAAATCAACCTTTTCTGGGAAACTCAAAATCAACTAGTCTCTTAAAATCCTTTGTTTGTTCTTCCACTACTTCCAAACTCGCTTTCGATGAAATATTTCCAACAAAATATGGTACCCTTTTTTTAACACTAACATTCTTCTCACTTGTGGGTACTTGTTTTTCTTCCTCTTGTCATTTCTGATTTTCATGCCTTGATTTCCCTTGAACAAAGGTTTAAATTTTGGTCAACTTAGAATTTTTCTAATCCAAACTCAATCGATTGATTCTATTCATGTGCTGGAGTCAAATGCTTCCAAGGACGAGTGACCTCGCTTAATGCATTGAACTTGGCTATTTACGGCTCAGTTTCGCCTGAAATTTCTAGGCTTGATATTTATATGATTTGATTTTGGGATGTGATGAAATTATATAAGCATAAATAACTGTCAAAACATAAACAATAAGATTAAGAAAGAGAGGTGGATTACAAGAATTTGCTTCTTCAATCTATTCTTGTTCTTGTTCTTCTTTCAAAATATCGTTATTGAAATTTGGTATTGCAAGAGTACGCAAAGTTTTGAGAACTGGGGAAAGGGAAGTACGATTAAAAAATTCATATTATGTGGACCTTTTTTCAGTGTCAAAGATTGTTTGGTTTGAGTGGGTCAATTCTGTCTCGATCCAATGCTATTCAAGCATGCATTTACAATGTTAAATTTTTGAACTATTGAGAATGCATAATATTTAATTTAATATTTTCCTTTTTAAATTCCAATATAAGGTTTTGTAACCGTGCAAATAAAATACAGTCAAATCATTAAAAATGTCAATAATTGAAAAATTAGTTGTTTTTTGGACATCACAGTAGTCATATTACAAGCACACAAACATCAACTTCTGAAAGCAAAACCCTTCTTTCACTGCAACTTCATTACCTGTTGATACTTATTCTTGGAACTCAGCAAGCCAGGTATTATCTTTGTTGATCCACTCTATTTCTGTACAGTAAATGCCAAATCAATAGTTGTTATATAACAGTTTATGTTAAAGTATAATAACATGAGACCCATAGATAAACATGAAAAGATAAATATTCAAACAGAAAAAATAGTAAAAAAATAAAAATAAAAATAAAAATAAAATAAAGCCTGCTTGACTGCAAGTATAAAATACACATTCAAAAGTACTTTCGTGCAGGTTTTCGAGCTAACATTAACAAAAACTTAGGCTTCTAGTCCTCTGATGTCCCAAAGAAACTTGTACAATGATTCCATGGGAACTTTACCTCCATCAAAATACAAGTTACAAGCAAGAGAGCAAACTTTCTTACTAAGAATTATCTCTCTTCATATTGAAATAAAAACCAACAGAATTCATAATGTGCATATGCAGGTAAGAATAGAGTTCCATAATATTTTCCTTCTCCAGATACTCGGCAGCCTTAATAACAAATTTAAACTCCCGTCCGTAGAGATGTGAAGCTGTTGCAGCTTTGTAAGTTAAAAGCTCCAAATCACCTGTAGCCATAAGAAACCAGAAAATTAGAAACAAATATAAAATCAACGCATTTCCATATGGAAAAAATTTATGTTTCCACCTTAAATTTAGCGACTATTGTGAATATATTAGACCTGCAACACAGATTACCTATCAAAGGCGCAAGGGTAGAAAAAGGAAATGCAAGAGGAGAGGAGGCCACATGCAAGGTTACATAGTTGGGTGGAAGAACAGTCTAGAAGCAGAACCTATAAATAAGGGGATGGAATTGCAGCTGAGCAGGCAGAATTTGTTAGTCATTGGGAGAGTATTATTTGGCATTTCAAATCTATTTTCTTATAGCAGACCTATTTCTTGTAATCAAAGTTCAGTAATGAAATATTAAAATTCTATTTTAGTCCGCCAATTACTATAGATTCTGTTTGGTGAAGCGAGATTATCTCAAGTTCCTATCAGAATATTCGACTATGTAAACAGTATGCTTAGTCAAATGAAACATTAAAACTTAAAAACGTTTAATTGCTAATTGGGTGATCTACTTCCACATAAAATGACAAAAATTTAACGGTGTGCTAAGGCTCCCACAAGTAGCAAAACTTGGAGATGGCCTTTACCTAGCAATAGAATAGAAACTACTAGAAATGAACTATATAGGAAACATGATTACCAGTAGCAATATCCGACAGGAGAATGCTGTGGCTGAAATGGCGATTAAGCCACCATCTGCAACGGAGCCTCCAGTTTTTCCCAGATGCACTGTTAGTAGATATATCAAGAATCTGGTTAGAATGACAGAAGGAAGCTTGATTGTGCCCATCTTTTCCATTAGAACACGACATTCTATCATCTCCACACAGACGAAGTCTCAAGAAGCAAGATGCTAATTCCTTCCACGTGTCAGATTTTGCATATGTAGCATCTAAGTGTAAGGCTATCATTTCTGCAAGTTTTTCAGTGTTGTAATCCCCTGCCATTGAGTATACAAACAACATATTATACATACAATTCAGTTTCAGAAATGTGTGCTACAATCATCTGGTACCAAGACATATATCGTAAAACTAAGGCAGGAGAATAATTCCATATAAATGAAAATTCCTCTAATCTATTATTTCATTAACATTAAAACCAAAATTAAACTTTCAACACAAGAGCAGCAATAGACAGAAAATGTCGGATAGTATTCGAAAGCTTATTTTATATTATCTGCAATACAGACCGTTAAATTAATTTCCAATATATGGAAATAATTTCAGAATGGTGGGCAGGTTTGTCTGTGTATGATTGGAAGGGGGTGGGGGTGGAGTGGGGAAATTTTGATTGGAACATTAAAATATAATAATAGAAAAAAGGAGCAAAAGATTATAGAGCAATGAGAAGTGAAAAAAAACAAATGATGGCTAAACTATTCAAAATTGATCTTATCAGAAGTGATAAGATAACGAAATGAACACCTTGAAACCGTCTGAAAAAACACTAATAACTGACCTCGTTGATGCATGACAACAAGTCTAGCCAACGAGTTGCTGCATGTTGGATCCTTCTTTAAGATGTCCTCAAAGCATGTACAGAGTTTCACATTGTATATGCCATTAAAATGCTCCAAGAGAGCAGCTTTCAATCTGCAACAAATGAAAACCAATATATTCTAACTACACTTGCATACACATACATATGCATATATCTTTCAAATTAGTCCCTAGTCAGTGCAGTTTGTTTTGCATTCTAAGCAGCCACAATTGCTATTTTGGAGAAGGAAACCATTACCTTAACTGGAGTACTGTATCTGAAATTTTAAATGATTTTTCAAGTTCATCAAGGGCCTCGTTGACCCGATCTCCAAGAAGAAGCATCTGCCAAAATAACAAAGATGGAAATTCGGAGGTTGTGTTTTAGACAAATCCAGAAACTGTTGTAATTAAAAAGAAAAAAGAATTGACTGCTTGAATTGGAAAACAAGTACTCAATCAATAATTGTAGGGGCTGTGCTGCTGATTGTTATGACAAAACATAACTGCAACTGTTGATCTTTTCTTTCACATCTTACTTTATTTTTGCAATGTTTTCTAATGAAAACCTACCCAGTAATTATACTATGCAAGGTTAAA